GGTCATGGTCATGGTCGTTGATCAGCGAATACCAAGCTTGACCCCTGTGCGGCTCCGTCAGGGTCCATTTTTCACCGAGAATCCGAGCTCGCCATCGCGATCTTCGAACATATAAATTCCGTTGGGCATTTCGAAATTTACGACATAAACATTGCGCAATATAAAATGAACTCATCGATTCATCTAGTCATCCCATAAATAATCTCCATCGCACGCGCCGAATATTGAAAGAGGACCGTTGAAAATCTACCAGAGAACTGGAAGCGCATTGTGATCAACGAAGAATATATTTTCGATTGAAAAGTATGTTATTTATTTTAATTTTTGAAAATAGAGGTATTAGAGAGCCACGTTATTCGTGGAACAACTCGATACGCGGTAAATTTATAAAGTAAATAAAGTAAACTGATATTATGGACCATTCGAATAGTCACTGGTTGATTACGTTAAACATTTCTTTCAGACTATTTCCACGAGATCCATCCGTCTCACTACTTAATCCGACATAATCAACCGAGAACACGAGTTGAATGCAAACGAACGAGAAGTTGAAGTGAAGTGTTTAAAGATCCGAGTCACAACAGATCCGGCCACCGGCGGTGGTTAATACAAAGAATCATAAACGTTAAGAAAGGATTCGCGAGTTGATCGAGGACAATAACACGAATTTTGTTCAATAAATTTCTGAGTCAAGCGTACGCGTGCGCGCGCGATGAATTAATTAAATTTAATTGCACCTCCGATCTAATCGGATTCGGAGGAGAACAGAGTAACAGTTACTCGCAGAGATTAAATTGTATCTAGGTTAGGCCTGGGTTATGGTAGATCAGGTCAGGGTTAGGTTCGATTTATTTCGAATAGGATCTAAATTCTATTGAGCTTTGTTTGGGTTCGTGTTGTGACAGATCGGATCCGAGATTAAAGAGGACTGAGCTAAATTGAATTCGATTAGATCTCCAGATTGCAACCGACGACCGGCCAGGTCCGTGTCTTAAAATACACCGGACAGATTTTTTTTCAAATATCAATTAGATCGGAACTCGAATAATTTTGACTTTCATCGGATTCTCTTTCAACGTAAACACTTTTGAAATTTTAATTACAACCGGCACCGTTCGGTTTCGCTCTTTCGATTTCAACCGACCTACAATTTTTTCTTTCGCTTCGCGGGATACCAAGCCTTATCCAAACCAGTTCGAATTCCTGCGATTCTATAAAAATCACCATTAACAACATAATACTGCTTAATTAATTCTGTACGCTCCTTAATCGCCTAATTAACGGACGCCAGATAATAAAACATTCCATTCCGTTAACGGCCGCGCCCCGCAAATCGGTTTTCGATGAAAACAAAAGGGGAGAAGAAAGAGAGGACTGTAAATAAAATGATTAATAATGAATCACGCCAATTAATGTGACGCGTTAAGGATATAAATCCTGTCGATCGGTTCCGCGTTAACGAATAAATGTCAGCCGGCGAACGCGGCGCACGGTAAAAATCCTTGTCGTGCACAACGGAATCATGATCGGGAGCCATAACAATAATTTCATCAAATGTAAGAAGAATCCGCTTTCATAAAAATACCATAAAATGCCTGCGTGGTCCGTTATAAGAAACTCAGCCATTGCATTCTAAATAATTAAACAATTTTTACAGTCGAAAAATGGGGGGAAACCGAGAGATAGACTTGGCATAATTTGAACGAATTAGAAAGTTTCCGGCCATGATCATTTTCCAATAAATTTAACGTCAATGAGATCACCGTTGAAACGCGCAAATGAACCTTACGCATGCATTGGGATGCACTGAGCGCACAGTTTTTCAATCGAACATACACACGAGCGACGCACAACCGCGAAAATCAAGCGATGTTAACGCACGCTGACTGCCACGAGAATTTTGAACGTTTCATATGGTTATAATTTATATTTTCGTAAGTGGGACAAACGGTATTAACCTTTCACTCTCTAATGGCCACTCGCAGTGCCCATTTGATTTAATAGATATAAAATAATAAAATTTAATATATCATAATAAACTTTGTATTATGCATCAATATGTGAAATAAATAAAATAGTTTTATTCTTTCATTTATATGTGATTCCTCGTTAAATTAGTTTTAAAAAGTGACATTTATATCTCATGAGGAAATGTTGAGTATTTCTAGTGGAAAACTTTTGGAGCGTAAAGAGTTAAAGACAATTGTTCATTATTAGGTATTACAGTTCTTATTTTATGTATATTGTTATCTAGTTGTTTAGTCTCAAGTTGTAGTTCAACATCTACTTAGTTTAGTTTCCATCTAACTAAGTTTCAATCTAGCTTAGTTTCTACTTAGCTAAGTTTCGATCTACCTTAGTCTCGATTTAGTTTAGTCTATATCTAGTCTTGCCAATCTAGTATAGTTCCCATTTAGTACAACCCTGTAGTCCACTTGAGTCTTTATCTAAAATACTACCTAGTCTTGTCACTATCTAGATTAGCCAGTATCTCCAGTTTAAACTCGATCTTGTTTAGCCTCAATCTAATTAATCTAGTTACTTATCCAGTTAATTAGTCCCTTCGTAATCGTTTCCAAGAACATAATTCAAAAAGGCTGGCCACTGGCGACTACCGTGTAAGTCAAAGCGCGTCAAAAACTTCAAACGACAAAGCGTCAACTAAATCCCGAATACTCGTCCCCGAAACATGATTCCCTACGACGGAATCTATTCGTAGCCTTCCGCCGACTGATCGGCGACTCTAGACCGCCGATCTTTCGTCCCTCGTAATTAACTATCCCGATTATCGCGATAATCGCATGATTTATTGCCCTGTCGCGTTCAAATCGTCCGCGCCATAAATAAAGCTCATCGAATTATCAGTTTATACCTGGTCGTCCTTCGATAACCGCGTTTACTGCGAACGAAAACCTTCCTTTTTTTCCTTCCTCCTTCGTTATCTCGCCTCGAACAAGAAACTTGCTACTTTTGAACTTACTTTTCACATCAATTTTCCACAATACGGCGCGTCTCGTTTAATGTTGATTCACGGTCACATTGACGTAGCAGAACATAACACACATTTACATGAACATCTTCGTCTGCCATCGTCCTCTCTTTTTCTATTTCCTGTTCACCGTCAACTGCTTCCGTGTTCCCGGTCGTTCGAAATTTCTTACGATTAATTATGCAATCCTACGATATTATATTACTACATATTTATTAGATCGAACGAACGCCTGCTATGTACAATATATTGATTGATCAATAACAGCACTTTACTTTTATAGTTACGTTTCACGAGCCATTTTTGCTGAACCGTCCGACATTTTCACACTAACGTTCTCCCCTGTAATTCGAACGCCGAGGCAACCGAGGGGAATCGCGTCGTGAACCGACGGCCGATCATCGGACATTTATCAGGATTCCTGATCACGCGATGCATCACTCTCCCCCGTGTGACGTTCACTTTCCTTCGGCCCGATACGAACCAGTCGTGTGTCCCGCCCCGTGGCCAGCTCCACTCGACCAATTTTACTTTTGGCGAACCGTGCCGAGCGCTCGGTCGATCCCTCGATCGCATACGAACATCCTTCGCCACGTTGAACGCCCGATAAGCATTCGTCGGAATCCCAAAATCCCAATTAAAACGATTATTACCTTAACGAAACGGAAATTGCGAATTCAAAGTATTCCGTGGCGTTTCCTTTCTCGATCTTCTCGCATTTTATAGATCCAATAATATTCAGTTCGTTATATTAGCTTTTAACTATGACGTTTAGCTATACTTTCTTTCGCAACACAGCAGAACTGTTCTACTGTTTGTAATTCACTGGACAAAGAAGAGTTTCCACGCTCGTTTTGATGTCTACGTTTACTTTAAAGCGTCGAAGTTGACAAGGGAAAGATAATGTTTCATTTCAACTGGAAAGAATTGGACGATATTTATGTTTGTTGGATTGTATTCGAAACCTTCACACGAATTTAACGTGATGTTTAATGTAGTATTCATAATCTACGCTTCATACGTGTATTTTTATGTATATCTATAAATATTGTCGCTGTAACAATCGAAGCAGCAAATTTCACTGAACGATTTGATATTTGATAATTTGATCACTCGGATCATCGGTCACCATCGTGGCATTCAACTTGTTAAACACTTTATTCGCGGTTGATCGAATCATCCACGGCGAGAAATGAACTTTTAATCCGTCACTGTTGCAAAAACGATGTTTCCCTTTCGCCGAACACGTGGCTTGAACTTTGAACGAAATACGAGCGAGTGAAACGTTCGAGAAACGATAGTCCAACAATGAATAATCCGCGGTCACTATTTCCATCAGTCGTCACTGGTGTTCACTGATGCTGTTCGTAAACCGCGATTCCCACACTGAAGGCTATTATCAACATTGTACAGGAACTTCGTGATCGGAACTTCGGATAAGAGAGCGAAGAATCCGCGGTTCGTTTCAGAAACATCGTGCAACGAAGTCACTCGAGGATCGAAGAGATTCTCCGGTTAAGCCGTTCACCAGCGCGCCCCGGCCTCATAGACGATTATTAACCATCGCGTATCGGTACCTTCGCGAAACAGGCGTGCTGATCTCTGATCCTTTCTACCATCGATCAAACTAACCCATCGACCTCTAGCGAACCGGTAACAAATAACAGTAGCAAAACGAATTCTTTATCAACCTATTCCCTTTAACAACTGCTTGCCTGCTGGACAAAAGGGTCAGCTTCGATACGAATTGAACACGTAAAATATGAATAATATGAGAGAAACACAGAAAATATGGCAAACATGGAGACAATGGGAGAAATATGGAAAACACGAGAACTATGAAAGAAATATAGAAACTACGAAAGAAGCATGCAAAGTATGGAACATACGAAAGGAACATGGAAAATCTAAGAACTACGAAAAATGCGAGGACCAATTCTCGAATAGGCGGAGAAATATCGATTAAGATAAGCAAAGGAAACGGTCGATGACGTGTTGTGTTTCAACTAACCGTGAAAAACGCGTGTACCTCGGTCGACCGATCGTGTATACTGTCCGTGTTTAAGGCGACTGTAAAAATCCTGCATCGTAGTGCCTATCTATCCCTATCTCTCTTTCGCTTTCTTTCTCTTTCTCTTTCTCTCTCTCTCTCTCTCTCTGTCTGTCTCTCTATCTCTGTTTCTATCCCTGTCTCTATCTATCTGACGTGCGTGATATATGTTAGAGCGCGTTGTCAGGTATGTGGCAGTAGTGTTAAGAGAACTCGGCTTAAGAGCTCGCGGGATCCTCTGGATCACGACCGTCGTCGGTGTCCCGCTTACGAGAGGTACCCGTCGCTGAACAACTCAGCAGGGCGACTGCCACCTGAAATCCTCAGGTGAGCAGAGACCACCTCTGCTCCATGCAGTCTCTGAACGGAGAGAGAACTCGATGGAACTCCTCCCATATCGGTGCCCGACTCCCTCCTCGGTGTTGTACGGTTCCCATCGCGGCGCACGATTCCACCGGCCGCCACGCGGTCACGTCGATCGCAATCGTTAGAAGAAATGGCGGTGCCGCGATCGATAGGATCCTCCATGCGGCCTGGCTTCCACTTCGGGCATTAGACGGATCGCAGCGGTGTCTGGTCTCTGCAGCTCCAACAGGGAACAAATTCAATTAGTACATTAGTGTTCAAGGTGTGATCTGATTAGATACGATTCCAATGTCGATCCGATCGCGAATAATTGTTTACGATCGTCGGTCGTTGGTAATCTGCGGTGATTAGAGTAAATCACAGGTGATGATCGAGTGGCGAGGAATAATAGTGTGACTTCTGTTTCTGGGCTCTCGGGGCAAGCTTTTGTGGATATTCTTGGATTAATTGAATATCACTGTTACGAGTACCAATGTTAATATTGATTGTTGATGTTATTGATATTGTTGCTATTTTAGAATTATTTTATTACTATTTTATATTTAATATTATCATCATTTTATAATCGATATTGATTTTATACTTATTATTAATATTATTGTTAATATTATAATAATTATTAATCGTTAATAACATGGTAGAGAACATTCCGCGAGAGCTTTCGCTTCTCCAGAGCTCAGAAATAGTAATTAGACCACGATTACGCTGAGCTACTTGATTACAAGTGAGAAATTACTGTTGCATCAAAAGTTGCATTTTGATAGTTAGTCTTTGTATCTCTGGCACGTGAAGAGTAACGTTACACAATTTCGAGCGTTCCTGATTTTTGATCCTTTCGATTTTCATTTCTAACGAGAAATTAAAATTCAACGTGATCGAGCTAGAAGAAGACCGATGTTTCGAATCGTCGTGTCGCTATTGTTGAATTTCCGGGAAACACGAGCGCCTTCGATAAAACCTGCTGCTTTTTAACCTTCCGCCGCAAAATCGATGCTGCGTAGATGAATTTTTTCGCACCGAGGTTTATCGTTCGATTTAAACGGCCGACGATCGAGCCGCTTCCGCTTGTGCGCGGTATACAGGTATACGCCGCGACTTGAAGAAAAAGAATTCGGTGAATCTTATGAGATCGTATCGCGCGCGGATGATTTCGATCCCACGGATTCCGATCGCGCGTCGCGGCGTGGATGGGAAACCTGACAATAACAGAAGAGATAAATCTCTTTTAAATTAGCAGAATTTTAATGAAAATTGGACGTAACTAACGAGAACTGGATCGCGATCCCGCCGACTGCTACAATTTCGATCGGCTGAACGACGTCGAAGAAATAAGTGTGCCGGAGCTATAAATACCGATTTAATTGACGCAATACGCGCGCACGAACGTATGGCGGAAAATTCAAACGATCATCGTAACGGCCACGCTCGCGACCAAGAGAAAAACCGATTGTTTCCGATAAGAATATCTCATGCAAGGATCATATCTAAATTTGCGTAATTACCGAACATTTCCTTGATTTTTTATTGATTTTCAGCAATAACCGGTAACAAAAACGTAGAATCGGCACGTCGGGACGTGGTGGAACATGTCGCAAAAAGTCGTATTGAAAAAGGTTTATTGCAGCTTTAAAAAAGAAACAACTGATTTTAATGTTTTCGTCGGTGATGTTATCACGGGTAAAGCTAATTCTTAAGTGGTCGTCAATGATCGTTCCGACTGGATTCGTTCGAGTGTTAAACGAATAAATGTCACGTGCCCGATGAAATGAGGGTTTTTCAGGCGCGGTGTGCCGGCGGAAATTTGAATCGAAAAATCATAATTTTCGCAGTGAAATTTTTGTAACGCTCTACTTTATGGACGTCGTTAATCACGATGTAAACGGCCGGCGGAAGGTTTGTGGGCCACATTTGCTTCAACCGGGGCACGTGGTCAGTGCTAAACCCATTAACGCGATGCGAGAACGTTTTCCAGGCTGGTTATCAGGCAAATATCACTTTGTGTCGGTTCCCGTTTCACCCAGATACTTACATCCACCCTTCGCGTTAATGGCCACGTCAAACTATCGTCGACCGCAGGTTTCGTTCCTGTGTCTACGACAATTGTCGACAATTGCTTACTTAGAAATTGCACGGTGAAATTACAAAATGAAATAGAACGAAATTGCAGATGTTTCAATTGCGTTTTTTACGATGATCTTCGTGGTTCCGCGAGAAGAACGCTGGTGCTACCAGACGTCAAAGTGTCTCATTCCTGGTTTCTTCTGTTTGGAATCATTGCGAAGATAACAGATGCTTCTCTGAGAAATTACTGAAAAAACTGATTTAGATATATTCTAACTGAATTGCAAACCGATCGAAGTCTTGATGGATGCACGGTAGAAGTTTCTATAGAGGAATGTCGAGAAATTAATTTGAATGTTTGGTAGTTCTAGGGTTAACGAAAAAGGTATTAGGTGATAAATGTTCCGAAAATGCTGGCGCAGATGCAGTACCAAGTAACTTGTAATTTTTTTTCCTTTTATTTTCCATTAGCAAAAATATTTTCTTTTATTATTATTTCAAGTGTACTGAATTTGCTGCCAGAAATTTGTTTACATATGGTATACCAGAGTCGCTGTCAGAAAGAAACGTCACAGTTTTCTTGGTAGCGTGTTACCTTTAAGGTCACCCTGTATGAGACAAGGAATAAGTGTATCATGTGAGAATACGTGCATGAACACTCGAAGAAATGGATTCGATAAAAATTTGACCTCGATCTGGGTCAACGTTCACGTGAGTCTATTCGGAATTTGAACCCTCTGTCGGACGGTCCGCCATTTTATGGCGTTTCGATTCGTTCCCGTCGGAATAGTTCGAGTTAACTTTGAACGTTTTAGAACCTGGACATTTATTGCTCGACGAGATCACTCGACTGGCGAATATGAACGCGCCCGTGACCGAGATGAAAGTTAGACAGTGGTCGGCCGCCGTGCCTCTGAAGACACCGGACAACATCATATCTTCGCAGTACACATCGCAGAAGGTCTTCGTCCCGTCTTACGAAAAGTAATCAGTCGATTTCTTTATTCTGTCCAATTTCTTATTCATTTATTCTATTCGTCAATCATTTATTTATTTACATTAATCAGCAACACTCTATCGAGTGACGTAATTACAATAGCCATAGAAAGTTCGATTAAGAAATCCTTATGCGATGATCATTAATCTCGAACATACCGTTCTACCGCAGGTAGATAATGTATTAGTACAAATGATTAATGCATATTAATTATTTATTTAAATTGCAAATGCAAACGTACGGCCAGAATTTTCAATTGGTCCTAGTTTATTTTTAGAAAGTACGCCACGGGACAGATGAAAAATGAAGTTGTGAAATGAACAAGAAATTTAATATGCTTGAAATCGTGTGCAGGGAGAAACGGCCTTGCATAGAACAGCTGATCACGAACGAATACCAGCGTATTTGGTGGCAGGAGAAGGAAATATGGGACAAAAGACACAATAGAAAGCCGACTACGAAGAAATTATTACAGCGTATGGTAGGGAACGTGATTTTTTCATTCCTCCAATCCTCTCCCAGAGCTTGAATTCGTTATGGATGTCGATTGAGTTCACTACTAGCTATCGCGCGGATCATAAAGTCTAATACGACTCGTGCAAATAACAATAAATTATCGATCGTTAAAAACGGGAAAAATACGGAAAATTGTTTTACCTCTTGCCACGATCCCCATTCACCGCACATCTTTTCTCTGGCACGCCAGTTGCACGATCGTAAGAGAAATATCATTTCCACAAAGACATTCGACTCGTGTTAATGAATAAAAGCTATTCGACCGTTAGTGCCATTTCTATTGCTGCGCAATTCAATTAAAATTCTATATGCACTTCAGTAATAAAGAGATTATAACTTTTCTTCTTCGACACTATGGAATTCAGCTATCGTACATGCACTTGTTTACGTTTTGTTCGGTTTTAACAATATAAAGTTTGCCGTCGGACATTCCTTATCAAAATAACTCGATATTCCATCTATTATTAATAGTCTAATCGAGGTAATCGCGTTGTAATAAATAATTATTGACACTGATTCTATTCAAGTACAACGATGAGCGACAAAGTGGCAATACACGCTGGTCACCTTGCGTTTATGGCAATACACACTGATCATCTTGCATTTATGGCAATGCAATATCAATGAAGTCTGCTACCATGGATGAAAAGTTGTAATCTCTTCTTCATGAAGTAAAGAACGGTCACAGCTGAAAAACCTGAATCACCGATCCGGTGTGTCGTTGTCTGTTAAAGGTGATCAGAAAAAAGTCGTCCAGAGAAGCTACCGTAGAACTACCAAAGAAAAGCAAGAAGCCAAGAAGAAAGGTGGAATCGAAGATCGAAAAAGTAGCTGAGGAATCGAAAGAGCCTAAAACGAAAGAAATTATTCCGACTCAAACGGGAGATGAAAAGGGAGAGAATGAACCGAAGGAAACGTAATAAATTTCTTTACGTAGATCATAGAGCATGTATCAAATGCGGGTGCACCTATCAAAATTATAGTGAAACACGATGATTTTACGGCACTATTTGAAACTTTTGAAGACGAATGCTAACGTATTGGCGACATTGAAGTTTGGTCCTTAAAATCATAAGTTACAAGGAAATAATTTCATTAATTAAACAGCAACATGTCAATCTACATTTTTCTTCTTCTGTAGTATTTAGAAATTTGTTAAAAGCTCTTTCATTTACAAACGATTGTTCGTTTTAAACTGAAACGGTTTTATACAACGTGTACATGTAACACACGCATAGAAGTACTTGTATTTCGACTGAATGATTTAAAGAAAGAAATAAAGTTGCTATTGCTAATCTCTCCCCATAAAAGATTATAAATAATTACGTAAGACAAAAATTTAGCTATTTACTTGCAACCGTATAAGCGAACGTCGAGTAAAGTGGTGTTCTTTTTTTTTCCAACGGAAACACTTGCGATAACCGTTTCCCATATTCGAGAAGAATTCTGCCTTTCTATCTCGAAACAGACATTACGGAAATTAATGCGTTTAATCGAGATGCTTTATCAAACGTCCGATGTTTCAGAACAACTTGTATATACAGGGTGTCCCGTAATTAATTTATAAATTATTGGTTTCATTCAATCATCGCAGATGCTTAGAGGTTATCTTGGCATTAGTGAAACGAATCACTGCGTAAACTAACTTATCCAATCAATCAACGAATGTTTACAATGTCTACAACGACACACAGTAATAAATAACAATCTAATAAATCCTTTACTGTCAGTCACCGGTGGCCAAACAAAATTTTCATTGTCCCTCACCAGAATTGTTACACTCAACATAACAAATTAATAATACAAAAAATGTAATAATATAACGAACTTTATACAGGGCGTAGTTAATCAATAAGGTGTAAAGAAGAACCTTATTGTCGGACACGCGTGACTAACGCGATATTCGACGTGTCAATCAAAAGTATCTTTTAACACGTTAACTGTCACGAAGAACAGCGTTTTATATGTCACTCATTCTTTTCCTAGCAATAATGAGAAAAGAAGAATTATTAATTATTTAGTATCACAATTCTTAGGTTACACGACAATCTAATTATTCACGCTACTGAATATTTGTATTCGACGTCAGTTATCTTACCAGTAATCATTATTTTCTTGTAATTCGGAAACCACGATCATCGGTGTGCGCCGTGGCGGTCAACGTGTTAATTAAGAAATATCAATTCTCGTTGGTGATTAATAAGTATAGATAAACTCGATTCGCGGCTGAATTCGCTCGTTTCGAACGGAACACCTTGTATGCATGGCCCGATGCCATTACCGCCTGAATCGTTAAGAATAACGCTCGTTGTCGATGGTAAACGCGTACAACAACACTGCCGCTGGTTATCCCTGTCGAATGTTTATGCAATTTAAACAATATTCTTTTCCGATAATTACGCGAACTTTCTAATGCTATTACTCACCAGCCTGTGTTACACTATGATAAGATTACGGTTGGTGGACACTGGTTGCACCGTTGCAGCTCGTCGAAAGACGAAAGTCGCCGATGCTGATGCAACGTCCAACGATAGTTGAGTTTGATTTCCAACCGTGCACCTAGGAATTTCTCATGGGGGTCGAGAATGTTGCTGCGTGTGTTTTACCTCTGACTACTTGTTTGATTGTTTTTGAACTGGACCGCGGATGTCGGCTTCCACGATATCGAAATACATATAAAGTTGAGTGAAATATATCTCATAAACACGTTCAATAACATCGTTGATTCATTTTCTTCCTGGAGAAGCTGTTGACAAGCTATTTAAATATTTAACCCATTAACGGGTACCATTATCAAGACCAATCACGGAAACACACTTTTTCTTCGAAAGATTCGTTTAACGGCATAAAATGTTTAATGGAAATTCAATGCTTCTGAAAAATATTTAATACGATTTTTGCTAGTTTAAAAAATGTATCACTGTTATAATCACGTGCCGGTGTGTAAACAAAAATCTGACGATTATAACAGTCGTCCGTGTTAACGGGTGAAAATTGAATACATATCTTGCAAATGCATTCAACGGTATTATTAATTGAATTTGTTTCCGGTGAAGCCACTGACGAGGAAAATTAGTTTCTTAATCAAGATCGATTCTATAAAAATCTTAATCCGCGTAGATATTTCTGGTTAGTTATTTTCATCGCGGTATAATCTCCAGCAGAATCGAATTGTTCGAATCGTTAATCCGACTTCAGTTTTTCTGTTTTTCTTTTGTTTGTTCTTTGCCAGCGATTTACATAGTCTCAGTGACGTCCGCGCAAAGGAACTTAATTAATACTAATCATTCTTTGTGCGACCGGTATTAATTCGAAAGGTAGCTCGGTCTTTCATTGGGAGTCAACAAAATCACCGTAAACGTTCGTTCGAAGAGCGACCAATCATCGTAACGACTCTGGAGGATAGTTCGGGATTACACCAGCCGTTGTAATGTCTTCCTTCGGGCAAGAAGCTTCCGTTAAATCCCGCTATAACTTCATTTCGCGTCGTCTTGTTGTTACGCCTCGTATCATCGACAGGAATGGTGGTCGTGTTATGTGGGCTGCGAATGTTTATGCAATTTCACACTTTCATAGATCACTTCATACAGGTCAGAGTCAAAGCCGCTACACTGATAAAAGTGCCCCCGGATCCACGGAACACCATAGAAATTTCGTTGGTAGTTGTTAAATTTCTTTCTTTTAATAATCGTTATACTATACAGACCAACCAGTAAAAATTCCATTATCCTGTAAACAGTTCCAACCGATTTTTCGTTACGCTGAAACGCGTAAACCGCAACGTGATCCATTTTTGGCGGAACTTGATAGCCCAACCGCGGAAGACTTAAATAATTCAACCGATCACTTTCTAAACGCGACAAAAGATTAACGTCGAAACCTCGTGTACGTTGTTGCTCCGTTCATTTTTACGTGTTATCCTTTTTGTCTTTTTAAGGATAATATTTTTGAAGGGAAGGTCCGGAACTCGTTCAAGGCGAACAACATGCCTCTGGATATGTCTATCAATTAACTATCCGATATTTCATCTATAAAACAAGACGAAAGAACGATCGTTATTGCATCATAACCGCGATTCACTCTCAAAGATATTTTTGATCCGTAGAAACGACACAGAACATGTCGCTTATCGTTATCGAAAAAAAGCAATGGTATCGTAAAATTTGCCAGTGCAACCGACGGGAACGACGTGTTTTAAGGTTCACGGGATCCATTAGCAGTTTCGGATAAAACAGATAGCGAGGCATAGAAAAAGGTTCGCCGATTTTTAAGACGGAACTGTGCCAGCGCAAAAATCGAATCGCGGAGCGGAATGGGAACGAAATTCGATCCTCTTAATCGAGAATCAACGAAATAACAGATCGCTGGTTTACTACTCTGCTTAAACGTTACCAATCTATCTTCACCCGAGTTCCGGTCTGAAAAAACAGTAGAACTGCGTTACAACTTCATTCGATATCCCTTGAGGATAGTGTTACATTCGCGCCAGTCCATATTCCGTTTCTACCATTTTATTGCAAAACTGCTGAGGTGTTTCGTTACGTTATCCCGCCTGTTTCCTTACGAATTCTTCTTCTGTTAACCCAGTTTGCCTGGGTGTACTTGTCTGACTAAGATATTTGTAACGAAACATTTTACTGGTTGTGTTTTCTTTAACTATAGTTTTACGAATGTTTATTGTACGGTTTATTCTACTATTCCCAGAAAAATGTATGTTCGTACGTTATCTTGGGAATTAGAGGTCTAAAAATAGACAATCAGGATACCTATTTGTGTAATTGTGTCTACCAGAAACGACGCAAATGTTTAGCAAATAATGTTTATAAGGTTTGAAAACTCAATTTGCAAATAGACGCGTTCTAGTCACATTCGTTGTACTCGTATAAGCACATATATATGTATATATAAATATTTAGCAACATTTTCAAGAAATTTAAATATATTATTAACTATATTAACTATATTCTTGAAAGTCTTTATATATTATACATATTATATACATATACATTAAATTAATAAGTATTATTAATATGTGTTTAATTAATAAATAATATTATTATTTTCAAGAAATTTAAATATATTATTCTTTGAAGATGTTTTCAATAAGGAAAAACTATTTCTTCGACTTTTTCGAAGAAATTATTTGTGGGACAAAATAGGTTAAGGCGACTCTAGTTGTCGTCTAATTACTCGACGCAAAACGCAAATCTCTTGTTTACCTGAACGCTTACCCGGGTATATAATCAAGCTAGAGGTAAATGTTGCCAGTATGTAGATTGCTGACTCTCATACGTTCATAGAGTACATAGGGTACATTACAGTTCAAACGTTTGACGGAGTCATTAGCTTATCCACGCAAATCCTCTTAACGCGATACAAAATTTATTTTAGATCCTACGGATCCTTAAACACTAAAACTTTTCTTTTCAAATAAATCACCGGATTTTCTTCCAGACGTGCACTTTCACTTTGACCATTTAATCCTGAACATTTAAACGATAGTGCCTACGGTTTATTCTAAACGTATTAAAATAAGAAGTTTAATGAAATGTCAACTCCATTTGTAAATTGGCATATGAAAATGTGAATGACAAAGTTATGAATAGACACTTTACATAGCAATGAGTAGCATTCTTGGTTAGCAATGAGATTGTTGCTCGAAAAGGTTACTATAATTTGGTGAAAAAAGGTAAGATTGAAGATACATACATTAAGGAATGAAGAAACGGTGAACAGTCCACTCACTGTTTTATAATAACTTCCTGAAAATTCAACCATTCAGTTCTGATTCACTTTTAAAATTAAACTTAAGTTCGGAACAGTACCTTATGGGGGCAGCAGTGAGATCTTCTCGAATCGCCGTTAGATGGCTACAGCAACGATTAATTCTACCAAGTTCCCTAATTTCTTAGATTTAAATGAAAATATTTGATATTCAACATCTAGATGAACGATATTTAAAATACAGGTGAAAAGAAGTATCGAAATCTGAAATAAAATGTATTCGAAACAGCATTGATTTTCCCATAAGTAAAAAAAAGTAGTGACAATAAGCTCCGACAGTGCTGCCGCCTAGCAGTAAAAGGCCGCATAATTTGTCGCCTCCATTTTATCTTGTCGAACCAAGCTTAGCCATTACATATCCAACGCGTTACCAGTTCGTTAGAGTGTCGTTTAATTCGTGAATATGTTTTAAAAGTACGCCTTCCGCTTGGACTAATTCGTGGTAATGCAAAAAGTGTTTACGGCGGTGAAACGTTAAGCGTAAAATTGTTTAAGCAAATTCTGATTTTTTCCACGGTATGTCAGAGGGCGAGGCTACAGCGTCGGAGAAGAAACAGCAGCCATTTCAGCAACAGCCACAACTCGGAGTGAGCTTGATGGCAAACATGGCATGGCAATATCCCTCGCCAAACAATATACACAACATGTTTCCTCCATATTCGGGGTAAATTTCCTGCCAAAATATTTATTCACATTTTCCCTTATCCTACTCCGAATGAAATGAGTCACCCGTAAACACGTATTTGAACAACGCAGATAGGCGTAACGTTGTATGATTTCATTTGGGTGATTGATTCCTGTATTCGCCTTCAATTTATATTAACTGAAACATTTTTTCCGTTGAAATGAATCAGCTGCATAAAACAAAATTGTAGGTGTAGGGTATGATCTGTATAAAGAAATTTATTGATGTATTTAAAAAAATACTGAGGTTGACCTAATTTTAGAGTAATATATAGAATGCAACCATCTATAGAAGGCACATTCGCATATGTAAATGTGTGCTTCCAGTGTGTTGGAACATTTGAACAGTTTATTGAACTTTTTCAAGTTTAGATGAATTTTAAAACTGTGCTTGTTACTTAGAAAAGTTTATTGTTAAGAAAAATATGTTTCAATTGTTGAATTGCATTTGTAAATGTAATTGTATGTTCTGCGTTATAGGCAATTGTATGGACCTGGATATCAAGGTGTACCTCATCAGGGGCAAATATTTAATTATTATCATACAATGATGCCTGGGTATGGACAACCTTTTACTCCACAGCAGATACAACAGCAGCAGCAGCAGCATCAACAACAGCAGCAACAGCAACAGCAGCAGCAGCAGCAACAACAGCAGGGAAGCAATCAAGGGAAACAACTTCATCAACAGCCTCCTGTACCTGGGACACCAATGTCTCTGGAGGATGAGTCTGACCTTCCTCCTCTTCCACCTGGACCACCTCCATCCGTACCACAATCTCAACCACATAACAATCAAGTGCAACAAACTATGCAGCCCCATCCAGGATACATGTATAACTCTTTTCCTTATGGTAGCTGGAATGGAATGCATAGTGACATGTCTCGTAAGTCTTTTTAACATATATGTACAATTATGAGATGACTTGATGTTTAACAGGATGGCACAGAAGCAGGAGGGGTCTATCACTAGAGATTTTGATTACGGTTTTGATTGGTTATGTATGACCATATTGATGAATAGAAAATTAGTATTGAAAATAAGATGAGAAAACATGAAAGCTGACTAATGAAATTCACATTCCTCAGTCTTGCCATCAAGTCATTTCCCTACTGTATATGATTTTGTTGTTTCAACAATACTTTAACAATACATCACCTTTGTTTTAGAATACAATAATCAAATTCGTTTTAATGTTCAAAACAAGAAGAATGGTTTGACATTCACTCCGTCTGGCAATAGTGGGGCTGCAAAGAAAAAACGTAAGCGGAACAAAAACTTAGCGGCACAATTCAACAATAGTTTTCAGGGGAACAATCCCACAACCACTTTCGTACCGGGTCCCAATTTGAAGACAGAACTACCACCTCTACTCCCCGCGCAGCGCGAGGTTGCAGCTCCTCCTCCACCAACAGAAGAATCCCCTGCTTCTCCTAAACCTGCTACTACTACCGTTAACACAACTCCTAGTGCTGGCACGCCGGCGATAGGTACCCCCTCTGTTGTGACAACCCCGAGTCCAGTTGGAGATTGGCCTGACAGTTTGAAGAACTATGTTAATCGATGCTACGAAAAGTGCAAAACGGCGGTGGACAAGGATCAAGTTGAAATTATATTAAAAGGAAAGATTACGCGCGCTGCGAATGATGGCTCGCTATGGGTGAAGGATTGGGACCAAGAACCTTTACCTAGCATCCACAGCGAACGCATGACAATGACCATCAAACCTCAGAAACCGGCGTTAAAGTTGAACAATTTGGCAAATCCACTGATCACTGCACAGGGAGGCTTGCGCAAGCCAGGCCTCTCTACTTCTCTTGGGGCTCGGCTTGGTGCGCGTCTCTCTGTCAGTCACAAACGGTCGAGGTCAAGGTCGAGGACTAGATCTAGATCAAGATCAAGATCCAGATCGATATCAAGATCGAGGTCGAGATCGAAATCGAGGTCGAGGTCGCGTTCGAACACACGTAGCCCACCGTCCCGAAAGTACAGACGTAGCACATCGTCATCGTCCAACGTTAGTGACCGGGAATACGATTACAAATCATTAAAGACGAAAAAATCTTCTAAAAACAAACAAAACCACAGCAGCAAGAAAGCAAAGAAGACTAAACAGATGAAATCACATTTCTATTCAGAATTTGGTTTAGCTACAGGAAACACCGAGGAACTGGGATCCAAGGAGAAACTACAGCAACGCGCAGCAAGATTTAACGACAGTATTTCCAGGACCGTCAGCAATGGTGTTAAAGATGATTCTTCAGCAGAATTTGATTTAACTGGTCTTCACATTGTTGGAACCTGCAAGGATATAGAAAAACCCTATTTGCGGCTAACATCTGTAAGTTCTTGTATCATTAATAATGTATTACCTTTGTATTTTGTATTTTTTTTTCTATTTACAAAATTCTTATATTACTTGTACGTTACAGGCTCCAGCTCCCTCCGCTGTACGACCGGTAAGTGTACTCCAAAATTCTTTGGTACATGTCAAGAAGCGTTGGGTGGCTGATCAAGACTATAGATATGCTTGTGATCAACTTAAATCCATTCGTCAAGATCTTACCGTCCAAGGTATTAGAGATGCATTTACAGTCCATGTGTACGAGACGCATGCCCGTGTAGCTCTAGAAAAAGGCGATCATGAAGAATTCAATCAATGTCAGACACAGTTAAGGATGCTGTATCAAGATGTCGGCGGAGAAAATCGGTGTGAATTTATCGCATACCGAATATTGTATTATATTTTCACAAAGAATACGCAAGGTAACGAAATCACACATCGAAATCTTTCAGATGAGATATAAGATATACCAAACATCTTATCATGTTCTTTACTGCGAAGGGGGTTTTGAATTTTTACCACTAAATGATAGTACTTCATGGATGTTAAGCGATATACTATATCTTATCTGTGGACATATTTGAGATTTGGAAAAGACAAAAGAATTATCAACATTTTTTACAACTCCTGTTACAGATTTGACAACGATTTTAGCCGCTTTATCGAAAGAAGACAAAAACGATGAATGTATAAAGCATGCATTGAAAGTACGTTCGGCTTGGTGGCTGGGCAACTTCCATGCCTTCTTCAAACTATACGCTGTCGCGCCAAGAATGGCGGCCTTCCTGATGGATTGGTTTGCTGCAAGAGAACGCAAGAATGCATTAAAGTGCATGATAAAGTCGTACGTACTAAACATTTTGTTAATCATTATCCATTTATATTTGTTAAACTATATCCAAACAGTATTTGCTAATATTATGCAAACAGTAGTATCATTAATGGACAACAATCTTTTGCAGATCATATTTCACAATTTCCTCTTTATGTCATCTTCAGATAATCGATATTGATTTTTTTTATATATTTTACATATCTAGTAGATAGTCGATTTTAAATACATTAGCGTAGTAGTTGCATATCATTAGTGAAGTCATAAAATTTTACGCTTCCTTTACAGCATAGATATAAATAAATTGAACGCAGTGTCATTAATTGTCAAAAATATTTTCATATCTCTGTTGGAAATATATTTCTCATTATTCTAATTATTGACTTGTGGAATTTATCAATTTGTAAAAGTTATACAGGGATTCGTAGTTGTATGGAGAACGATGGAAGATTGAGCAATTTTTTTTGTCATTTATATAATCATGTATAGATTTCTGTTACAGGACATCGTAGCTGAAAAATAATTACTTTTTATATATATATATATACATATATATATACACATACATATTCAATTACTACTTCTCATTAATATAATTTGTAATGTACATACAGTTCACGCACAATTGTCTAATGATACATTTCTTCTACTGTTTAGCTACCGGCAAAATTTGGCGGTTGATTTCGTCGTGGCAGAATTGGCCTTTGAATCTTTGGACAAGTTTTATGAATTTGTCAATGAATTCGGGTTGGTTTATGCTGATCCTGAACAACAGCTAATCGACTGCAAGACAAGCAGTGGTTCTCTAGGTGCTTGGTAAAAGCAATGTCAGTCTTCTAGTTTCTTGTGGAAGCCGCATAAACAAATCGATTGTTCCTTGTGCACACTGGTAGGCGCAAGTTCTCCTTACGCGTGTGCCCTATATGCGCTTGTCTCTCTCTCTCCCACTAGTATATGCGTATGTGGACCTGCACGTACATATGCATATACACACGTCGCCCCATTACGATGATTCTTCTCGCTGTTCTCTTTAAAATCATTGTTCTTTATTGATCGATTCACATCGTTCAAACAACAATCTTGTATACGAGAATTCCTTCCACGATAAAGCTGTACATAAATCTCAATCTTGGCCCACTTTACCTGACCTCGAAGCGGAGATGTTTCGTGGGGCTCTTACAAGTTGTACAAAGGATTCTGGGTGACCAGTTTCTGGTCATCTGCAACTACCTCAATTCGAACTCGGTATGAAGCCGGGGCTTGTAGCGAATTATG